CTTGAAACCACTCCCCCCCCCCGCTTGGTTTTTGGAAGTTGCCTCCACTGCCCCTTCCTTCTCCCAGAGCACAAGTGCGGCCGGTGAAGAAGCACAGATGGATTCGTTGCTGGGTCTGAATGCGGTGGGACCGAACCCACCCTGCGAAAAATGACACCCTCTGCGGGGATTCGTTGCTGGGGAATTTCAGTAGGGGACCCTTTGGTGGGCAGGATTCAGGATTCATGTCCACCACAGAAAAATCCTGTCGCGAGGCGCATCTCTAAGCAAATAACTTTACGGCCCATGCCACAAAAATGAAAATATGAGGATCTCTGCTCGCGAGCAAGCAAGGGACCAACATGAACACTCGAAGCTGGGATGGGCTAAGTTGGGCCAAGGCCTGGCCCCTTCGCTTCAACAGACCTCGGTTTGCCCCCACGAACGTGAGTACGGCTGGCACCTGGAGTCTCCATAACCGCCATAACCCTTACAAAATGGGGTCATTACCCGAAACAATCGGGTCATGGACCTATTTTTAATAGAATCATGGAAGCTCCAGGTAATTGCAACCGCCGAGATGGCCTTGGGTCAAGCATTTACCCCACAAGCGGGGTCGGAAAACAAATGGGTGTCCTTTCAAAAAAAAACCTTTTGTTGGGGAATCCGCTGCCTCCAAGACGACACCCATCTGAACCCCCCAACCACTGTCCCTTTTTCCCCCATGTCCAACATCCCCTTGGTACTGCCCAAGCAGTGGTTGCAACCCGGTGTTGGAGTTTTCTTTGGGGGGAGGGGGTCGGAAAATGGCTGCTACCCCCATGGATCGAGGGAATGGACTTGAGTCCCGGACCCCTACGACCGGCCATGGGAACTCTTTTCTTTGGCGTCCATTTGCAGATCCCCCGGGAAAAATAAGAGAACTTATGTCCAGCAATAGAGCCCCTGTACAAGCCAAATGCAGAAAACTCGCCAGGCTGACGGTGGCACAATAGTTGCAAGTAAAGGCAAGCTGGCGCTGCGAACAAAGGTGTCCTTTGGTGAAAAAAGATGGATTTGCCTGGATGGTGGAACCACCTGGCGCAACCAAGAACCACCATTTCTTTTCGACCACAACCAAAAACGACACCGACTGTGAGCAGCACTTTGAGACCATGGTTGAAACCATAACGATTGTTGGCATCTACAGGGGAATCGAATCATTCCAACAGAAAAAGGTTGATACCGCTCGAAAAAGGCGAACAGCAGACTTGGGACCGTCCTTTGCCTGTGTGCTTTGCTGCTGTTGACCCCTCCTCAAAAGTTGTCAAGTCGTGTGGGTCCAACTTGGAAAACCAACTTGATTTCCACCAAAAAAGTTTAAGTCCCAGACCCTTAGATACAGTTGGCCGTGGCCAGCAATACTTAAGAGCCAGGATCCGGACTCCGGACGCGTCTTAGCCTTGTCCATTTGCCGATCGCTTTTTGAGCCACGCCAGTTCTCACACTCACGCGTTGGCTTAAACCAAATCCCCGACTCTCAAGGTCAAATAAGCCGAATTGATCGGCACACGAGCTGGGATGGGGCTTCAACTCACCTGGAAAACTGGGTTGTGTATTTTGCACAGAAAAGCGCCACACCTTGGCACGCCAACCAAATAGCACGCTATTGATGGTTGATTACGTTTGTGCATTGATTTTCCGTCGAGCAAAAAACGGGGCCTTTGGCTTCGCTGGGAGATAATGGGCTGTTCCGCATGGATTGATACTATATATATCCCGTTTGACCCGCGCGGCCAAAAACAATCCCCCCCTCCCCCCCTCAAAAAAGAACATATTTTCTACCTTGCAGAGATCTCCCTGCAGAAATGTCCTCTGCTGCCATAGGGCCAACCAACCCACTATAGGGGTAGCCTACTTTTGGGGAAACCCACGACAGAGAACCATGTCGGCAAGGTACCCCGCAGCGCTCGCTCTTTTGCTCGGCTAGCCCCTCCGTGCGGGTGGCGGCGCGCTCGGCGGAGCTGTCCTTTTTGCCCTGGTCGAATTGGGCTGCATGTTCTGCCCTAGGGTTGCTCAACTGACAAGTAGATGGGTCTCGTTTTGTAGGGCGTTCCCACAAAGGTGGCTTTCCTTTTGGTTCCCTTCAGGTAAAAACACAAACAAGCAAGGGGTACCCTCAAAAAAGACACCCCCGTTTCCCAAGAGCTGACCCAGGGGGCTAACACCCTGGCCGAACACCCAGGTTCATGATTCGCTCATGCAGCTTTGAGTTGATAATTCAAAGTGCAAAACGGAAAAATGGGGCGTGTCTCGTCGCAAACCCCGAGCTTGCTTTTTGATTTTACCGGGCTTGGCTTCAACATGGCTTTAACAACCAGACCCAGGCCCCTTAAGGAGAACTGATTTTGTCCACCATATCAAGCGGGCCAGCCTTGGACCCAGCAAGTCAGACGCGAATGGACCTAGTTGCAGCATATGGCTACCCCCATCAACCCCATGTGGGGGATAGTATCAGGTGGGTCCAACTTGGGTCCGAGTTTGGTCCCATTGACAATAGGAGTCCAGATAAAAACTTGGTTGCTGTTGACCCCCCCGCAAAAAGTGTTTCACTTTTTGGTGGTTTGATGGAAAACGCCTTGATTTCCCAAAAAGTCAAAGTCAAAAGATCCAACCCAATAGCAGTCACAGGGATCCTTACATTATACAAACGCCATGTTTCAAATGGTTGCAACATGGATATTTTTTAAGGAGCCCTGAGTCAAGAAAAGGGATCTAAGTTCCTCCTTACAAGTACCATAGGTCCTTTCGGATTCTTTCGGTTTCAAACCCAAGCCACCGAGTCTCAGGACAGTGCCGATCCATCGGATCGCCTGCGAAACGAAATGTCACGCGCTGAAGTCAATGCCACAAGCTCCGTATGAATACATCAAAGATGCCCGTGCCTATTGATGTTTGGAGCTTCCCTAAGCTTCACTTTCGGTCTTGAACAAGTGGCTCATTTGGTGCGGGTTGGCCCTTGGGCTCTTGGATGTATCTGCAAATGCTACTCATTCAAAAGCAGAATCAAGAATTGGACTCTTCAAGTAAAGGACCCTTGACTCAGAGGCCCAGTGGCCATGGAAAAAAAGGGCATCCTTTTTTGGTTGAGTTTCAAGGAATCGGAACCCTTCCAAAAAAAAGGAAAAAAAGGGCGCCACTGGGCAACTGGGTTTATCACGGTGTCCTCGTTGTACCCCCGGATCGGTGAGCTCGCGTCAGACCTTGTCGCTTCGCCCGGCGCGCATCTCTGGCTCTCAGCTTTGAGCGTCACGGCCCGTGAGCTGGTCCGAAAGCGGACAAAATTTTCCACTCAACTTCTACAGCACTGTGGGGAAATCGTAGAAATCTGCGGGTTGTTCCAAAATCAGTATAGAAGGAAGACTTTTGTAGGGCTAATTTTGGTCCATATGCTTGTTTGTAGATTCTTGGACATTTGCGGGGCTGCACCCTTTTGGTAGGGAAACAAACAGGAAGTTGGTTTTAGGGGCAATTCACCCGTCTCATCTCACATAGCTCTTGCGTAACCCCTATGTACAGGCTATGTAAGAGGCAATAGGGGGTAGCTTCCATTTGCTCAAGCCCAATGGAAAAAGACAATATTTCCAGTAGTGATATTCCCTTGATTGAAAACCAACAGCGGAAAATATGAACATATTAAGAACTTGACAGGTATATGCGCGTGTCTTGTGCTGATGGTACCTTTGTTTCGTGTTTTTTTTTCTCCAAGGGACACCAAAAGGAACGCGCCTCCATTTTAACGGGTCCCCCCAAAAAAGGACTTAAACCCACATAAGAACGGATCCATCGAAGTCGAAAAACCTGATTCTCTCTGCCCACTCGGTGCGGCCACCTCACGTTCCACCCGTTGATTCCTTGGCCACCCGGGCCTTTTGACCGGGCGGATTGATCGGTGCAAACGCGGCCAACGGCGCCAATTAGAAGCAGCCAGGGGGAGAGCTGCTTGAACTGTGGCCGAAATCGGATGATTAAACCAGGTAAACCAGGAATCGCCTTGAAGAAGGACACCTATGAACCCGAGCCCACTGGCTTTTTCGAAGGTTTTTTGTATTACACCCTGGGAACTCGGAATTACCCTGCTAGTTGTACTGCCAGTGTGCTGAGTGGCTTTTTTACCTGGTTTAGTGGTGGGGTTTCCGCATTTAACCCACTTTTAGTGTTATTTTTAGCAGGGGATCTGAGGACAGCTCTAAGGGTTTTTGTATTACACCCTGGGAATACACCTGGGTATTAACCCCCTAAATGGCACATTTCCGGATAAAACCGTGTTATTGTGAACCATTCTGCGTCATTTCCCAAGGGTGTAATCCCAGGGAGTAATACGAAAAAGTAATCCCAGGGTGTAATACAAAAACCCTCAGACGAAAGGATCTGAAATAAACGGCTAAGCATTTGGGGCCAGCACTAGGAAAAAAGGTCCGGTCCGGACCATAAGTGAGGTTTGAACTATGCTCAGTTCAGGAGGCGAGTGCGAACTTGTTCGATCATGGCTGTCAAAAATAGGGGAACTGGAAACATGGGCCAAAATCTGCGGTGCATATCCTGGTGGTTTAATTTTGACGCATTTCTGCGGGTAATCAACGTCGCGGCTACCTCAACGTCAGAAGCGGTTTAGCACATTGCGCACTGCTGCTTGCCTCCCTTCCGATCAAATTGTGCAGGAACTGTATATTTACAGCTTAAAAAGACATCCCGAAAGTTCATCTCCCAAACGGAGCTTAGGGAGTGAGTTGCAATGTCACCCCTTGGCTGCTGTCCATGAAACTGGGAGGTATCGGATCCGGGGAGATCCCCCGGACTCCCGCTGAAACTTCAAAAAGGGAACGCGCGATTCACGCGACGTCCGACTCCTAAAGCCTGGCAGTCGCTGGACGAATCAATCCTCCAGTGAAGAACCCGCCCTTTGGCTTCAGAATGCAACAACCCACCCCAAAGTTGCAGGGGGGGAGAAGCAAAACCGAACGCGCTTTCTGAGTATTTCTGAAACACACCGATCTGGAGGCTTGTCCTTTTCGACGAGAGCAAGTTGGTGAACCATTGCTCACGCCGAGAGCAAAGCCAGCGCAAAGCTCCCGCCGTTCACATCGAGATGGATCGTGGCTCCTCGTGAAGTTGGGCCAACCCCTGATTAACCATCGACCTGGACCCTCAAACTACCCATAAAAAAGAGAATTCACCCACCATAAAGTTGGTTTGCAGTAACCCATCTTCAAGTTGGAACTTTTGAGGGTCCAACCAATTTCGAGTTCTTTTAGAGGAGTCAGTGGTCCGGCTGCTTCAAGAACCCAATCACGCGCAAAAAAGAAACCGGAGAACGAGTCAAGCACTGCATTGCGCTGAGATCTCAATTGGAGTACACCCTGAAAAAGAATCGCCTGGATTGCCAGTCGCTATTTTTCTCCTTTTTTTTCTCCATGCACTTTACCACACAACCAACAACAGCGACCTAAAAAACAAAAAATCAATGGCTCACGACGACTGCCCGGGCCAAATCAAATGGGTTGCTGTTTGAGGGCCCTGGTTGCTGTCCCTAGAAATCGGAGCCTCCCTGGGGTCCATGAGTGTCAGGAGGGGTGAATCTGAATTGGGGACCCTTTGTTGGACCTCATTTGGATTCACATCCACCAAACCAGCGGCTGGCTCCCTTTGTTTTTGGTTTGGTTTTAGATCCATGGCTTTTTGGATCTACCCATTTGGATTGCAACAAATCTACCTCATTTCGGGCTGGTCGCCGATCCGGACGCTGGTTCAATTTCTGACCTAACCCATGGCCCCCCGGGGAAAGAATTCTCTTGAAGTCGGAGGTTGAGGCCTGGATGGCCGATTGGCCAAAAACCGAAGCCCAACTTTCCGTATGCCACTAAACTGGTCCAAACCCATAAAGCTTAAAGTCCAGAAATCAATCATACGACCTTGAGCAGGGCATGCACGAAAATAAACAAAAAAACAAAACACCAGTCTCCATGACCCTTTCGAAACGCGCCACCCCAAAATCCTGGGTACATTTGCCCATGTGTTAGCCCAACATGATAAGCACATAGCGTCCTGGAGACTCCAAGCACAGTTCCGGAAGCTTTTCCGGTGCTAAGTGGGGGGTCTGGAAAAAAAGAGGGATCGCCTTTTGGCCTCCCTTGGGAAAATGAAGCACTCTGGGCTATTTAGCACTGTGTCCACAAAGGGGCCCCCCTACAAAATCACGCCCACTGCCTTATGAAACTCGGCCTTGGAAACAAAACTACAGGCCAATATACAAAGCCCCAAACAAGTCCAATCCTGACCGAACAGGTGCCAGTCCAGGAACTCAGAGCGTGCAAGAGAAAAGGAAGCGAGTAGGTGACACAAACTTTTTGGGGTCCCCTCCCCTCTTTTTGCAGGGTGCTTGACAGGAACCCAAAGGAATCTAAGCCTTTGGGCTCCTGGGGAAAGTTCCGCTTTTGACCCCAAAGTAGACTCTGACACTGGGGTGATTGATGTCGCCAGGGGAAGCCCCTGGGTGCAGGTCTTCTTTGGGGTAGCCAAACAAATCTTGGTTGACGTTGGAAGGGGAGCAACAATTTAAACTTTAGCAGTTAAGTGGGGATTTCCCACTAAACCACAATAAGCAAAAATGTAAAATGTTTCCCAAAAACAACCATGAAATGGGTGTCAAAGTAGGGGTGTCAAAGTAGGGCTACCCTTAAAATGGACTTTGGTAGTCCTTTGGTTTCCCTTTTGACCAACCCAAAACGGGTGCCGCAACCCAAATGGGTGTGTCGTTGAATATTGACAAGGGGAGCCACCAAATAGTAGTTTTCCTTTAGTCGCCATTTAAAGCCACACCACAAAAAATACCCTCAAAAATCACCAACCCAATCAGGTGTCTTATTTTGAGGGTGCCCCGTTGTGTGGAGGGAAACCAAAGGGAAGACCATTTTGGGGGGTCCCATGTCCTGACAGAACTCCTAGATCCCAAAGGCTCCCTCTTCAAAAGCACATTAGGATACACCCAACCCCCAGCTCAGTAGAGGCTCCCTTCCAACCAGCTAACAAAATCAGTATTCCTGGCCTGGACCTGGGGTAGCTGTTCCCATGTAGCGGTGAAAGCATTCTGTTTTTGTGGTTTCTTTAATGGTCGCCCCATGTTCATCGGACCTTTGACTTTTTCCATCTAACATTAAAGCTTGTGTGAAACAAGTCGGGTGTACCCTTGGCATGTGCCTCCCAATCCAACAACTACCCCACCCTTTGAACACAATGTACCCACCTCATACTTGAGCTGGCAAATGCCCAAGATTCTAGGGGTTGATTCGCCTTTTTTTCAGCCATCGTTCTTTTCAAAAACCGATCGCCATTTCAACCCAGGGCTTTGGTAGTCTCCCAAAAAGATTCGGATCCCCGGAAAGAATGGAACTGAAAGCTACACCTAGAAAGATCCTTGGCTCCCCCTGAAATTGTCCATGACCCTTTAAAATTTGCTTGGAGTCATTACCCTAAATACTGGTTGGTCATGGACCTATTTTTCATTCGGGTCAGAAGGAGACGCCAGGACCCCCCAAACCCGTCTCTCTCCATTTCCCTTTTCGGCTTTTCGGAGCATTCCGCCTCTCGGCCACGGGGAGCTCGACACACCACCTCCTCCTGGTAATCCTGGCACATCCCTCTCGCAGATCCCACACAATACCCCCCGCTTTTGGTTTCTCGGTGGCGAAATCTGCGAAGCCGTGCAGAAGAAGTGAATCACTTTTTGGTGATTCATACGGAAAACCCAATGGTTGGCAAAAAGTTTGAAAGTCCTAACATCCATGCAACATGCACCAAAGGTTTGCATGTCAAGCCTCTACGAAACAAGGCGGAGTTTACCCTAAAAAGCCAGGTTTTCCAAAAACTACCCTTAAGAAAAAGGGCCTGTGGAGTCGGGAAACAGATTTCCAGCTGAATCGAGTTTGAAACCAGCAGGGAAAAATTGCAACATGTGCTTAGGCAAATGGCAAACTCGATCCGATCTGTTTAGATCTTGCTCCACACTCAGCCAACCTCAACATGCCAAATGATGCCAGCAAAACGATCTCGCGTAGAATGAACATCTTCAACTGCCAATTCTCACAGCGTCCACAAATACATGACTACCTGGGGCCTTGAACGACTGTTTCAAAGCAGGTGCGGGCCGAAAAACCACTTCTGAGGCAAACGACCGGAACCGGTTCGAAATCCCTAGCCTACGGGGCCTTGACTTTGCCAGGCCTGTCTACTCTCCATTTTTTCCAGTTGGCCAAACCAGAAATGGCCGTGAGCATTCATGTGCACAATCTAGAATCGAGAAGCCACTGCAATTTACAGTTATGACACTTCAGATCAGAGCATAATGAGTGTAGCTGCATGCATGTGTTCTTCACAGCCTTTGCCCAGTGCGCCTGGCTTGCTTTACAGACCTGTCCCTTTTCCCAGCAAACGACGCAGACGCAAATTTCTGTCCACTCATGGTGTTAGCCTTGGTTTAGAACCTTCAGTATAAGAAAGGGCACCCTAAAAACAAAGGCTTGCTTTTGGGTCGCCGGACTCCTCGATTTCTTGTTTTGTTTCTTCTTTTTTTGCGGGGGGAACATTGGATTTTCGGGGGGGCGGTTTTTCGGCTCGTTTCGGCCCGTTTTCTTCCGTTTTCGGCTCGTTTTCGGCCCGAAAACCCGTTTTCGGGCCGAAACTGGCGATGGACAAAACCAGGAAACATCCAGAACCAGGCGTGCAACAACCAGAGCCGTGCGTGCAACAACCAGAACCGTCCGTGCAAACGACTGTTTCTGAATTGATGGATTTTCGGTTGCTTTTGGATGGGGCCATTGGGGCGACCACTCCTTTTTACCAGCAGAAGCCTCCCTTGTAAAGATTTGAAAGGGTTGTTTGGGAAACCACCTGAAAGACACCCATTGGGTGCGTGAGGGAAGAGTGATTTGACCCACTGCAAAAGCCGCTCAACTATAGTGGCTTTGGGGTGATAAACAATGTTCGTCGACCCCACATGCTGCTGATGCTGGCGGTGCACCTATGTGGCTCTGCCCGCGGAACCGAAGGGTCTTGAAAGTGTGCAATTCGCACAGCCCCCTTCTCCATGCCTTTCCCTTTTGCAAGAAAGCCTAGAAGAGAAAACAAAGGGATCAGTGCATTTCAGTCTGCTGCGGCACGCTTGAGACCCTGCGGGTTGGCCGGGCAGCCAGTCTTGTAGAGAGGCAAGTCAACCGAGGCTGAAAAGGATATGCCCTACACAAAATACAGAAAATGGTGATCAGGCCAAACGGCCGGAACTGCAGCAAACGACCGGAACTGATGATGAATGTTCTTACGACTGTTTAAAAACGGATGTTTCGGGCTCCAGGTACTACCTGTACCCAATAATTCTGATTTTCCGGTGTCCCCGATTTATCGCTACCATAAGTTTCCGATATATACCAAGACTGAGTTTCTCAAAAACTCGGATCCATACATGGGCTTGCCTCAAAATGGTGGAACCCCCCAAATGGTGGATGTCGTTTTGCTTCCCCTGTAAAACCACCCCCAACAAAAGCATACCCAAAAAACACACACACACAGAAACCCCTCATGCCTTCCGCTGACATGCCTTCCGAATCGGTGAGCTGTCACCGCGCCAAAAAAACTCAGAAGCTCCCAGACCTTCCCGTCGAAAAACGCCCAGGTTGAAGTACGACCCGAAACATTCTGCAAAAGTTATACATCTAGAGAAAGAGAGGGGATGTGTGTGTGTGTGTGTATGTGTGTGTGTGTGTCTGTGTGTGTGTGTGTGTGTGTGTGTGTGTGTGTGTGTGTGTGTGTGTGTGTGTGTGTGTGTGTGTGTGTGTGTGTGTGTGTGTGTGTGTGTGTGTGTGTGTGTGTGTGTGTGTGTGTGTGTGTGTGTGTGTGTGTGTGTGTGTGTGTGTGTGTGTGTGTGTGTGTGTGTGTGTGTGTGTGTGTGTGTGTGTGTGTGTGTGTGTGTGTGTGTGTGTGTGTGTGTGTGTGTGTCTGTGTGTGTCTGTATGTATGTATGTATGTATGTATGTATGTATGTATGTATGTATGTATGTATGTATGTATGTATGTATGTATGTATGTATGTATGTATGTATGTATGTATGTATGTATGTATGTATGTATGTATGTATGTATGTATGTATGTATGTATGTATGTATGTATGTATGTATGTATGTATGTATATGTATATATGCATGTACATGTGTACATATATACACATACATTAGCACATTTTGCTATAATTCCAAAAGCTGAATTAAGAATTGGATCCCCAGGTAAAGGACCTTTCTCATCTCAAGCGCCGTTATACCCCCGGATCGGTGAGCTCGCTCGAAAATAGGCAACAGTGCAGGTGTGGGACTCCACTTTGAAACGGTCCCCGTTTTTTTGGGAGGAGTGTTGCATTTTTCTTCTGGAATTTTTAAATCCTAAAAAAGCTCGAGGTTTTCTGCTTTGCTGAGGTCTTGGCCGGTGTTTTCAATGGCGGCTGACTTTGGGCGCCCCCTCCAGCACAGTGGCACGGCACCCGCCATGTGACGAGCCTTCGCCTTGGGACCAGAGAGGGGCATGGAGACGGCGATGGGCTGGGCTGGGTCCTGAGGGAAACGAGGTCCGCACATGGGATGACCAGTCGGTAAACCACGTACAAAAAAACAAAAACAGTATGATATGAAACTCGCACATGGGGAAGGTTCTCTGGAAGCGGAAGATTGATGAACTCCCAATTGAAACTGTCGTGAAAAGACGCACCCCCTTTTAAGGGCTAATGTGAACACCGGATTAATAAGCCCCTGGTTGATTTTGATTGGGGGGGTGGGTCCCAAAAGCCGGTTTTGCGCAAACTTGCTTGTATACATCAAGAAAAGGGTCCAAGTTTGACATGTTTTGGGTTCTCAAAGCAAAGGTGTGTTGTTGTCAAAAATTGAATTTCCCTGGTAGATGATGAAACCAGCCCCACCAGGAATCGCCAAGGATTCTACCACAAAACTACAAAGGACACCATCCTGGTCCTGAAAAAAAGAACCCCTCTAAAGGGCTACCCACAAAAAAGGCTTGGGCCGAGCCGTTGCTTAAAGCTCTGTAAACCACTTCAAAGGGTACCGACTCGGGGCCACTATTGGGTAGTCACAAAATCCACGAAAGGCAGCAGTTGGGATTCTTGTTTAATCAACTGTTCAGATCTGGTTTCAGCCAGAAGTGAAGGATGTCATCCACCCATATCTCTCACTTCCGACCGTGGATTGGCCAACAAGAAGTCACCGGACAAATTTCTGGGCTGCCCCCAGATCCCCTGCTAAAGTCGAAAACTTTTAGTGGTTCAGTGGAAACCACAAAAAAACACTAAAAGGTCCAAAAAGCGAACTTGAACCGAATGGCCGGGAGCCATCCCAAGCTGAACAACAAGTCCAGCTCCGGAAGTGAGGTCTCTTAAGCGCCTCCTTTCGGCTTTCCCCAGGTGCCAAAAAGGGGCTTTCCACTTCCCGTCCTCGTGCCAGGGCAAAGGGTCCCCTGGCGACTGATGGAGGAGGGGCTTGGCATCGCTTGTTCTCGGCAAGACTCGCTGCGGGTCCCCGTGACATCCTGATATTTCGGGGCAGGGGTCGTTGTTTTTGGGACTACCCCAAAGTAGACTTCAACCCAGGGGGGGTTGATTACTTTGGGGTTGTCAAAAAATGGAACCCTGTTTTGGGGTCCTCGAAGACTACTGTCCGTTCAAAGGTGGCAACGTGGACAGGAGGGTACCTGCTTTCGCAACCATTTCGAGTATAGAACAATATGCGAAAATATCCTTTCAGCCTTACTCGTTTGTCATTCAAGCGAATGAAATGGGTGTCAGCTTTTTGAACGACCCCCTAAATATATATCTATATATGGTCCCGTGTTCCGTGTTGCTACCCCCCCCCCAGATGGTATGGGTCGCCCAGGACCCCCCGCCCCCCTCCCGGCCCAAGACCCAGCCCCCGGATCCTGTCACCTACGGTCCCACCCCCACCCCGACCCCCTGAACTTGCACCCCGACACCCCGGCACCCCCACCCCCAGACAAGCCAACCCGCAACCAATCATAAACCAACCCTAAACTAACCCTAAACGAACCCTAAATACACCCTAAACCAAACCCTAAACCGTAGACCTCTAAACCTAAACCAACCCTAGATCAACATAAACCAACCCTAAACTAACCCTAAACTAACCCCAAATGCACCCTAAACCAATCCCTAAACAATAAACCCTAAACCTAAGCCAACCCTAAACCAACCCTAAACTAGCCCTAAACCAACCCTAAATACACCCTAAACCAAACCCTAAACCGTACCCTCTAAACCTAAACCAACCCTAAACCAACCCTAAGCTAACCCTAAATACACCCTAAATATACCCTAAACTAATTCTAAACCAACCCTAAACCACCACAACCCAACCACAACCACAGGGGGGGGGGGGGGTACTTGTCTGACCCATGACCATTGGTGGGGGGGGGGGCT